TTTTTCTATGTTTTTATCAATGCTACTCCACGTTTTTAAACCTTCTTTCACAGATCCTAATTTATTGCCAAAATCAATGTGAACATATTCCCTCTGCTTCGTCCCGAACTTAAATTGTGGGCTGTTATATTTTAAATCATAACTATGTTCAACATTGGATTTGGGATTGAGAATCAATTTTGCAACAGTTTTCCATCCTGGAACTATTTTATTATAAATATATATAATAAGTTAGTAAATTAGATCTAATAATAAATATTTACATGTTTCAATATCTGCTTGTTCATCATCATCATCTGTTAGGTCTTCGTCATTATCTACTGGGTTTTCATCATCATTATGTGCCAAGCTATTATTTGCTGCTAAGAATTTTTTCTCTTTTGTTGTCGACATTTTTTTTACTCGTTTCACTTTCTTTCTTGCAATCTCTGGCTCTTTGAGTGATACTCGTTTTTTACTCTCATTCAAAGAAATTATAAATTGTACTTCAAAGGTGCCTTAAATAAAACCTTATTAATGAATTATCTTTAACATACTAAATTAATTTACTATAATTACGTTAGTAATTACCAAAAGTATTTTCAGCCTTTTCTTTCCATAGTTTTACAGGGTATTCATCTGCAAATGCCCAATTTTGTAAAGAGATGATCTATTCTAAGTATTTGCTTTTTTGTGTTTTTTCAGGAATCTTTAGGATTTCGTCACACCTGAAAATAGACTCAAGTCGTGTATTTATGTTTTTCCAGGTTATTGTATGATTTTCACCTCCCATCTCATCCAATATTTTATCTAATACGGAGCTGTTTGTTTCGCTATTCTTATCTGCTTGTGTACAAATTTGCTGCATTAATGATTGAAACAGTTTATTAACTCATGTTTTATAGGTCTAAAAATTAGTGCTAATAATATACCATCCTTTCTTGCTTTAATTTTTCAAGTTCGGATTGGGTTTCCTAGATTTACTAAAGTACTAAGTATAATAATATTTAAGTAATAAATTTTTTAAATTTCTTACCATTAATTTCATTTCAGTTTCATTGAGTCTTATTTTTATTTGTTCATACTCGTCATTATGCTAATAAGTAAAGAGTATAAGTAATTATTTATATATTTTAGTTCTAACTAAAATGACCTATTATTTTTTACCAGAAGGTAACTATCGATATTTTCATATTTTCTTTAATGTTGGAAGTATTTTTTTTATTTCTAAGTGGTCTTTTTACAAGATTTGAACTATTTCTTGTTATAATGACACTTCCGTTCTCATTAAATTTAAGTTCGAGAATTCCTGGACATAACTTTTTTAGTTTTGCTGCTTGTCTTAAAAATTCGTCTGAAAGTAAGAATTTGTTTTTGTGATTTTTATTCATTTTCCAGTTCTGCAGTAGAAAAGAGTAAGTTCCAGATGATGATAACGATAATGATAACGATAACAAAATTTCGCGACCAGGTCAAATCAAATTTCATGATCAACGATTTCCGGGTATGATGTCATCATTCAAATTTGAAATTGCGGGCATACATGCCCGCAAATTGACGTTTGAAAAAATCGATTAACGTATGTTTGTACTACCATATACAATCCGATACGTACAGCCAGCATTGTCAATGGATAGCTTTGTTTTTTAAATAAAAAATGGTTAGAACCTAAAAAAATATATAATATATTTTTTAGACAAATCTATTAATTATTAGAGCTTGAACATGCTTTGGACACTCTTGAACACTTGGACGTTGGACATGGTCAAAAAAACCTTGGACAGTAAAAAATATACAACACTGCGTATAGTATCAGTATACCATAACGATAACTACCTCATGGTGGTGATGATACTGGAGAAGATACATATAAGGGTGATCCAGGTACAATCTACCACCAAAACCGGTTTCGACCTTACAACTTTTTTGTGATACAGTACCATAATATGTATGCAATATCCATACACGAATATAATATAAATGTCATTTGACGAAAATAAGCAAAATTATCATTATTCTTATAACAGGTAAGGCCTTCAATACTGTCAATACAACTACCAGTATTGGAGAAGCAATGGAATTTATATATAGAAAATTTTTTTGTTAAATCATTGTTATCGTTATAGTATATTAGTTAAATCAATGAAGTTGTGAAATCAGTCATGATCTAGGAAAATCACTGGGATTTTTCTAATCCATCACCCAATAGGGCACCAAAATTCAAACTTTAGTTATAATAATTTTTTATGCATTAAATAGAATAAACAACTGAAAGGCATATTTACATCTTATAATTTATTAGTATCAAGTAAACGATCCGTATAACTTCAATAACATGGAATGTTAATAATAAATCCACTCTTTTAAATGTGGATTCAAACAAACTTGGAGTAAATTATACAGGTAAGAATATGTATTTATTTTTATAGATATGTATCACCAAGATATTTTGTATAAAAAAATATCAAGGCTACATTACTCGAAAATAATGATGCAGTAATTCGTACGAATAACCCAATTCTGTTACATTGCAAATTGTTTTATTTTGAAATTGATATCATAAATAAAAAAAAATAGATAAGAAACAGGAACACGGAAAAATTCCGATTTGATTTACAAAAAATTCATTGTGATTTGGCTAAAAAATCCGTTTTATACCGATATAAAATTTTTTATTTATTGTCAATATTATATGCTATTATAATTACAGTATCTAAGTTTATTTGAGTATTGCAAAATGAAAACCTGCAAGTGAAAGTTTAGTTTCAACATAGCAAATTTAGTATCAGTAGAATTTTTTCACTAATATAATATCAATTCTTTAGGGCTAAATTTGCTATTATAAAAATTTAAATTATTATTTCAGATTACATGACTTGAAAAAATTAATGCTTCAAGAATGGTTTTTTATAACTGACACATTATATCTGGACTTTCTTAAAATATCATTGCCTCTTTATTATCGCCGAAGCTCTCTTATACATATTAAAAGAACCTATTATTCTAAAGAATAGATACTATTTAATCTATAATATCTGAGATTTATTGTTGATTTGAACCAATCAAAATTAATATAAATCATGTGCCTATTTTAACTCTAAAAATTCTGTTTTATTCCTTTTTACGCCAGAAATTCCATTTTATTCATATCTATATATATATGAACTTTTTCGTGTCTCTGGTAAGAAACAAAACATCTGGCAACATTAAATAAGATTCATTTCCTTATAATTTCTTTCTCTTTTTGAAGAATTATTGCAATTGGATTTTGCACAAATTAGCCGAACTAAATAAATTACCTGGTAATTACAGTTTAACATCTGAGGTTTTATCCATTCTTTTCGTTTGTTAGTGTTGAAAAAACATCTCTTCTTATTCCATCTTACGACTGAATTATAAGCGAATCTCGTCAATCTAAGCCATCTCTTTAAAATTTTTTTCTGTAAATGATTCGGATACGTCTTGATCTACAATGTTCTGTTCAAGCTCGTCTCGAGTTTTTGTTTCTTTATTTTTCGAACAATTATCGTCTTTTTTCTTTTTCCTTTCTTTCCTATATCTTGCGGCTCTTCGTCTTTGCATTCTGCAAATGAACACAGTGTTGATAGTGAGGATATCTTATGTTCATCAGATTTGACCCGTTGAAGAGAACCACGAGTTTCGTAGAATGTAATGAGAAAACGTACTCGATGAGTTCGTATGTGAATCCGCATAATCTGTCTCTGTGGGTAACCACAACTTCTGAGACCATTCCTTTACTTGATCATTTCAATAAGGTTTTAAGACCATTTCTTTTGAAATTGATGCCTGACCCGATGTCACTAATGGGTTCATAATTGGGGAATCTGTCCGTGGCGATTCTGGAGAAGCTATAAGGGTACAATCTCTATTTCCGATTTAAGAATTCGAGTCTCGGCCTTGTTGTCTTCGTGTAATGGACCTTCCGAACTAGTTCTGAACCAAAACTAGTTTCGACCTTTTTCAACTTACTTTTTTGCATTTGTGATACTATATGTATGCACTATCTATGTACACGAATGCAATATAAATAACGATATCATTTAAAAATGATAAACAAATTTATTCTTATAATATTAAGTCTCAGGTAAGGCTTTCAGTGCCATCTATACAACTACCAGCATTATAATTGGTGGTGAGTATTTACTAATATGCAATGAAGAAATGGAATTTGTATATAAAAATTTTCCTTGTTAAATTATTGCTATCGTTATAGCAATAGTAATTAAGGTTGTGAAATTACCCATGATATAAGAAAATCACTTGCTTTTAAATAGGAAAATTTCTAATCCATCACCCAATAGAGCACCAAAATTCCAACATCAGTTATAAAAATTTTTTATGCATTAAATAAAATAAATATATTATTTTATAATTTATTAGTATCAATTGAACGATTCATATGACTTCAATAACATGGAATGTTAATGATAAATCTGCTCTTTTAAATGTGGATTCAAACAGACTTGAAGTAAATTATACGGGTAAGAACATACATTATTACAATATGTATTTTTATGTCAAAAATCCATAATCATCTTACCAAAAGATATTTTGTATAAATATATAATGATAAGAACTAATAACTTATTACCTCCTAAATTTTATCCAAAATAAGGCGAAAATAGTGATGATGCTATGATTCGTACGAATAATCCAATTCCGTTACAATGCAAATTGGTTTACTTTGAAATTGATATTATAAAAAACGAAAGAAAAGGGTAAGATACAAAAAACATCTGACAGCTTTAAATAAGACCCATTTCCTTATAATTTTTTAAATTCTTTTTGAAGGATTATTGCAATTGGATTTTGCACAAAATCAACTGAACTAAATAAGTTACCTGGTAATTAAAAACTAATTTTTATCAATCATGAAAAATATATATAAAATACACATTATTTATTAAAAATAATATTAAAAAATAATTCATAGGATGTAGTAAGGACTCGTGGGGATATCATAGTGATGATGGAAATTTTTTTGATTGTTCAGAGCTCAAAGAACCATATGGCTCTACGTTTGAAGCTGGCAATACTATCGGGTGTTGCTTAAACTTTAGAAATAACACTGTATTTTATACCAAAAATGGCGTGAATCTGGGTAATTATTTTTTAATTTCTAAATTTATTTGAGGGATAAAGCTAATAATTGTTTTATACCAATTTTAAGGAATTGCATTTCGAGATTTAAAAGATTTAAAGGGTAATCTTTATCCTTGCATTGGAGTAAGGTCAAAAGGTGAAATGTCTATAAAGGCGAACTTTGGATATAAAAAGTTCAAATATGCAGGTAAACGAGTTTTGTCTAACATTGAATTTGCATGTCTAAGTGTTTTCTAAGTTTATTTTAATATTATTATACCTTCATAAATAGCAATAGCTGATGAAGACATGATTGAAAATTTTATAAAGTCATTACAAATTAATGAATTTTCATTAAGATATCGTGCAAAAGCTTATTTTGTTATGGAAAAATATGAAGAAGCGCTTGCAGATTTAACTAGATTGCTTGAAATTGATCAAAATAATGCATTCGCATTAAGATATCGTGGAGAAATTTATCTTATATTAAGCAAATATGAGGAATCAAGTGCGGACTTAAAAAAATTACTAGAAATAAATAAAGATGATAAATGGGCATTAGAAGCCAGTGGCGAAGTTAATAGGCGGTAGTCATCGTTATAGAATTTTATTCATATATATAAAAATAAACATTATATTTTATTGTCAACAAAATAGAATTAACTATTAATTATTCGTTCTCTATTCTGTTATCTG